ATAATAGGTTAGAAATTCTGTTGTTTTGCACGAAAATATATTAAAGTTGCATTCATGTAGGTTCGTTTGTACGTGCGCAAGCGCGTACCGTATCATTGTGTCATCGTATGTGTATGTAAATTATTCAAACGTGTATTCAGCCAACTAGGTGTTAAGAGTTAGAAGTTATTTCGTTCTAGTTTTAAACGATCCAACTGCAGCTTCGGTCAAATGTTGTATCAGACGTAATGGGGTCTTGTTCCGATGTGCTGGGTTATGAGTGTAGCTGTTGAGGTTTTTATAATAACATCTTGTATATTTTGTCTTGTATGCATATGATCTGTGTCTGTGTCGCGGCCATCCTCTCAATTCTGATATCACATCTATCTTTTACATATATTTGAATTAAATTTTGTCGATGTTTTTTATAAATTTGGTGGCTCACCAAGTTTAGGCGACAATTCCTCGATATTGATCTTTAAAATGGGACAAGTCTGTATGAAATACCAAAATATGAGGGCAAGCAATTATCGCCTATAAGTGGCAGAGACTAACCATTTCTATTGTATATTAAATTCCACATCATAATAGAAGTCACAAGTTTTCTTTACTAATATCAAAATTGAGACTTCAACTATTTAATTTGTATAATAAATTTAGATTTGAGTATACATCAAGATATACTTATTGTTGAAATTATCATTACTCAACTTATATTTTATAATGAATCTACTCTTGTTGAACCTTCTCGCTTTTATGAGTACGTATTAAAAACCTACTTTATATATTTTCTTAAAACTTTATACTGTCGTGTAGCCACGTGGTGGGGTTTTAGAAATGTTTACATTGTTTCCTATAGTTTGCAGTCTATTACAGAGATAATGGTAGTTAATTTATCTTTAAGACGTGTCTATTCTGGCATGATTCCCTGAACTTAAAACTAAATTTAACATCAACAACTCTCGTCTTCATTCTGTATAGATAATGACAAGGTTGTTAAATTTAGGATTTAAGAATCGACACCATTGACTACTTAATTTGATAAGTGTAAGTTTTTTTTTATAGATTCAGTCTTTTATCCCTGAATCTTATTTCCAGTTCATTCACTCACTGCTGTGGTAACGTGATTTGTTGTAGCGCATATAACATTGTAAATTTTAGTATTCCAAGTTATATAGTTTCTAAGATAGGCAGCTTCGCTTGTAAAGTCGCGGACTTATAACGGTAAAAACTAAAAAAAAAGAGAATGAATAAACATTACTTTTAATTATTATTATTTTAAACAAGCGCAAAAACTTGTATATATAAAATTTCTACTCAACAATTTGTAGTATTACTGCCAATTAAAAAAAGGTCGATATTTTCAAGCGAGGCTGCCTAAGTCATCGCCAGATGGCGCATCTCTTATGTAATAGATAGTATGGGTCTTTCGAAGGGTTGTGACTAGCGGTCGCGGAGCTGCAGTGGGGTCCGTAGTAGGGACCCTCCATGCCTAGGGTGGGGCCGTCTGTGTGATGCTGTGTGACGAACCTATGAAACCCTTAACTAAAATGATGGGATTGTATTGGGCATTGATATTTGATACAGCTATATTAATATGGATAAGGCTTCAGGATAAAATATTGTTGTATTAGTGTGGATAAAAAGTTCGAATTGCCGCGTTTTCGCTCTACTTAATCAATATATTTAATTTCAGTGCAAACTCCTACTTAAAACAGTTAATTGGTTATATAATACAACTCTTTTGAACGGGTTATAAAGTCGGTAAACCGCCTTATTACTATACATAGACACTTTAGTCTATAATAACCTGGACTAAAACGGATGCTGTTACTTTTATTTGCTTAAAAGAAAACAGAGACAACATTAAGTTTAAAACAAGACTAAATTTAGTCCGCGTTATGGAAAATGGGGGACTATGTATATATTAGCGCTTCGTAACCCATATGAACTAGCAATGACTAGCAAGCGTCGCCTTCAATCAAAAATGAAAATGATCTTAAATAAAAATCCACGCGTACCAGGCAGCACATTGGACGCACCAAACCCTTTGCTATCCGGACGAATGCACTGACCATTATGTTACCGCGGCCCTGATGGCCGTGTCGAATTTATTCTATCATTTCTTAGGCTGCAAGGCAGCGCTATCTCTTCGATTTGTAGATGACCCTCAGGCATTCACCCTGATAGCGAAGGGTGCGGGTTCGAGTCTCGTCTGCCGCCTGGTCCGCGTGGAATTATTTCTAGTGAAATTTTCTTTAGATTTAAACATCTAGCAGTTGCATGCTTAAAATATATAGATAATGAAAATTACTCTATATGCCACATCCAAAGCAAGGTAACATTATTCCGACAGCTAATTCGATATTTTTATTAGATAAACCTTATTGTCTGAACGTCATGTAATAATTTCATGAAACAAAACAAAGTATCTTATTTTTTTAAACATACATAAATTGATCAAGTCCTAATGGTAGCATGTGAAAGATGTGGGTTGGGTATTGATACCATTGTAACTGTGTATTATAATAAAATATATTTTCTTTTCATGGCTGGTCCAAATTGTTATATTACATCCCACTGTTGGGTCGAAAGTGTATTTAGATGGCATTTCTTTAGGGAGGTCAAAACCGAGTATAGTCTCTTTACTTATGGTTAACGCATTTTACAATGACTGATTTCATTCTTTGTATGGGCAATTATTTCTATTGATTTGTTTAGTTTCATAATGTTTATGAGAACTTTGATGTTTTACGTTTCGAGATAAGATCAACTTTACCTACTGAAATAAGTTGTTTTTTTTTGTTGATGTTGTTAATAAATACCTTTTTAGTGAATAATTATCGCACTTATTGAATCTATGCAAAGATCTGTTTAAATATTAACATTTATTTATGTGCCAGAATGTTCATTATTATAAATCATATTATTAAATCTAATTGTTTATGTATTTTTGTTTGTATCGGATAGTTTGTGGTTTGTTTTAGAGAAGCGGTTGAAATGACATTTTTATAAACTAAGTCACACAAGAATGATGTGTGGCTATTGTAAGTTCAACTGTTATTTGTAATAATTAAGGTAATTTATTGAATGTGTGTTTATTTCACAGCGCAAGTTTAGATACCGGTGTTCTTTTATGCTGGATGCATTTATACAGAAAGAAATATTTGTTAACCGATGCCAAATACGAGCCATTTTGAAGCGCATATTGTTTTTAGAGATTTGTGAGAGTAACATGCGGCGTTTGGTAATTAATGTAAATGCTTTGTTCTTTCTAAGCATTGACGTCAAAAACTTTTAATTTAGAATTTTGTGTACAGTCATTTTCAAAAAATAATACTAAGAATATTAAAACCACTTTAATTTTTACAATATTGGTATTTTATCGTCTTTACGTAACGGAAATTCTCTCTTGATATAGATATCGAAGATGATTGAATGTCTGAATAAAGTGTTGTTTGGATAGTGACTGTACCAAGAACACAGTAATAGCTAAATATTGTAAAGACCGACGCCGTCTTGAGCGCAAGCCATACAGAGAGCGAAACTAGGTTGGTTTCATTCGGACTATGTTATTTTACTAAAACACTTACCATGAGGTGGACTCCCAGCTCGTTTGACTGCTTAAACGTAAAAAAAACAGCTGAACGAACCTCTTGTAGTGTAAACTCAAGTATGAAAAGATGTGAGCAGCGACATCGACCTCTGGTATATCCGCCGATTTTCTATACCTCGCTGGCCGCCTACTCAGAGGTCCTGGGTTCGAATCCCGGTAGGGGCAAATGTTTCTTTCGTGAATACGAGCACCTGAAATAGTACCTGAATCATGGCTGTTAATTATTTCTATCCGTTACTCTAGTGTTCCATAACACAAGCCCTACTGTGCTCAATTTGGGGCTAGGCTAAATAAGTGCGAGTGCTAGAAATGTTTATTATTAGCAAAGCGAATTCGCTTCGCTCCCTGTGTGGCCCGCGCTTCATACTAACGTGTGCGTGTTGAGGCATGGGTGTGCGGCGGCTTCCACTCTCTAGTTCTAGTCATTTTAATTCCTCCGTGTGTTGTATCTATACATAAACAGCATGCCTGTATATGGGTAGACAATATAATCAATATGAATGTTAAACATAATATAGGTGAAACTTATATCTATTAAATTTGATGTCTGTTCTATGATGTGTTTTATTTAATCTGATTAATTCAAATCAATTTATTTATCGTTGATATCAGTTCTGTAGCAGACAATATGGTATTATTTTTGGACTTGCTTAGATTTCGGAGATATAGGTATATATAAAAAACCCCTTGTGGTAAGTTCAATGGTTGAATGAGTTCAATCTTCGACTGAAGAAGTGTAGTTATTTACATGGAAATTCTATTATCAGAATAGTTCTCAGAGGACGACTACCTCAACTCAATAATATAGGTGCCTTACAGATAACACAGAAAAATGGTTGCTCTCAAAGACCGCCTCTAAACTTAAAGTTATAGTAGTTAGGGGAGCTCAAGCGGAGATTTTGGGATTTACTCGAGCGCGGAGTATGAAGTACTCACAACATACCTGAGCCCTTTATACGGGGTCGAACATCTAGGGTAGCAAAAAAATATCTACAATCGCCCTTGACTTTTGGTCGCGTCAAAATGTCTTGAAAAGGAGCTACTGGAGGGTTTTCGTAATATTCTTTTTGTCATCTGATGCGCACGATTTTTTTTCTATTTGTACCCCTTCGTACGGCCACTCGCACACCATGTAAACCGGCAGATTAATATGTTTCTGTTATCAAAATCGTAACGTGAACTCATATCCTAGGTCCGATTCAAAAGACTGACAATTTGGACGCACCCAAAAGTCATGGCTTATTTTTGATTTTTATTTGCTGACCTAGACGTTCGATCCTTTATCAAGGGCTCAGGTATGGTAGGGATAAGGAGTACTTTACAATGTGCAATTTTGCCCCACTGATGTTATTCTGCCCAGTCTAAGGCGAGTACTATATATGCATCTTTCGATCAGCTTTCGACCAAAACCTTGGATGAACTGAACTACAACGTAGTATATCCACGACCAAAATGCTTAAAATCTGTGCTTAAAATGATGAATGTTTTCTGAATTCTGCACTAAGAATGCATCAATTCTGACATCAACGACTTCGAAAATTACTCTCTGACTTTCTAGTAATATTACTTTTCTCTATGTCTCTGACACAAAATCACAAGTCGCAAAATGTAAAAGGTGGATAAAATTATCAAAATTTAAAATATAACAAAAAATAAATGTCCTCAAAATTATTTTAAGCGAAATTCTACGTAAGTGATGATGTTCCGTCTAAGTTGCAAGAAGTTGTTGAGTTGCTGGTCGCACGCGGTGGTTCCTTCAGCGAAGTACCAGAATTTTGTGACCTCTGATGCACTTGTGCAGTTAGAGAGGTTGTGCGATACGTATTGTCCAGTGCCGCGCTCGCCACCGCAGAAGGTTAGTAGCTTTTTCAAAGTACCGTGTAGGTATGTTACCACATGCTCACCCTAGACCACTATATCTAATCGAATCTAGTGTAAAGTATCACCTCTTGGGACCAGGAAGTACCACAGTATGTCCGGCATTATCGCTGTTTAAAGGCTCTGTAAGGCGCAGCTAATTACCCCCACCTTACCTGATGTTAATTGAGAATCGAGTTCAGTCGTGAACGTACTTGGAGCGCCTGAAAGAAGTGCTTCAGTCATCCTGAACTTGCCGTCTAAACCCCGTGATGGAGGAAGTTATTTTAAAATAGAAAGGTTTTATTTGAGGCGAACATAGGTAAATGCGTTTTTATCTCTCCATCCATATAAGCTCCGTTTAATAATACAGCTGACCAGAATGACATACAGCAAACTGCAATTCGCCTCAGCTTTTGCATCTTTATGTTCAAACTTTAGCAGCAGCAATATAATAACGTTGGATCAGGTGGCCGTGGTAGGCGCCGGTAGCGACGTGGGTCGGATAGTGGCGTTGTTCCTGAAGCAGCAGCCGGTGGTGAATGTGCTCGCGCTGTGGGACGAGGCGCCGGAGTGCGGCGTGCTGGGCGTGGCCAACGATCTTGCGCACATTGATACTGCGACAGAAGTGGAGGCCTACCAGGGCCGCATGTTCCTCAAGCCAGCGCTTCATGTGAGAATGAACTTCGTTTAGCAAGACTCCGGTTATCAGATGTAGACTCAGCGGGTTCTCGTCTTAATTATATACCTCAATACTTCTTATAACAAACTGCGTTCCTAAGTAGTATGAATATGTAACATGTTGCACCACAACGAAAGAACATATAAAGGCCCTCTAGGAAAATTGTCCCTAAACGATCATCAGAACGCTTACATAAATTTATCATGCACGACAGCACGCAGTTCACATGTTAATCGCAACAATCAATTCAAACAAAGAACGTAGGTAACTGCCGTGCTCAAGCTGCGCATTGACACACAGATGGTTAGTTATGTTTAAATCATTTAGCGACACTTTTTGTCATTGCCAAAATCAATAGCGGTAAGTTAAGGTTATTATTTCTTGAGCATCTAAAGCTGGAGGATAGGACCTGTCCTTCTGACTACTTTCTATTTTGTGTTACAACTATATGTATGCATTCATGACATTAACCAAAGGATTCAGATTCAACCAAACACCTACAGGATTCAGACGTGGTGCTGATATGCGGCGGGCGGTACGTCTTTCCTCTATGCTGTAACACGCAAGACCGGGAGCTGTTCTTCTAGAACATGCGTCACGTGCGCTGCGCTACAATCTCCTGCGCAGAGTTCTGTCCGCAAACCATAGGCGCCGCCCGTCGACTGTGTCTGTTTACTTTCTATTTTGTAATGCAATTACAAAATCATGTATTTACGATAATACTTGAAATGTCGTATATTGCCTGATCATTTATCGCGTAGGTACTACAGGATTCAGACGTGGTGTTGTATGATCATGCATTCACTACAATACTTGAAGCATGTCATATGCCGCATGATCGCTTTTCTTAACACCTATATTCAGATGTGGTGCTGATATGCGGCGGGCAGGCGGTACGTCTTGCCTCTGTGCTGTAACACGAAAGACCGCAAGCTATTCTTCCAGAATATGCGTCACGTGCGACCTTCACCATCGCTTACGCGGAGTCCTGTCCACAGGCCGTAGACGCCGCCCTTCGACTGCTTCTAGCTACTTTCTGTTTTGTGATACAACTATACAATCATGTTTTAACGACAATACTTCAAATGTCATATACCACATGATCGTTTAACGCGTAAAGGATTCGGAAGTGGTGCTGTATGGTCATCACGCATTCACTACAATACTTGCTCCATGACATATGCCTCATGATCCACTCTTTCCTCAACACCTACAGGATTCCGACGTGGTGCTGATATGTGGCGGGCGGTACGTCTTGCCTCCGTGCTGTAACACGCAGGATCGCGATCTGTTCTTCCAGAACATGCGTCACGTGCGCACCGCCACCATCGCTTGCGCAGAGTTCTGTCCGCAGGCCGTCGTAGCCGTGCAGACGCCACCAGTGGACTGCAACTTCGCGCTCTGCAAATACGTCAGTATTGGTAGCTGTTATTTATCAATTTCCTAGCTGTGTCTACTATTTTTCCTATAGAGCATGGTAAGGATATACATCTGTCAATTGAACAAAAGAAAATAATAATAGCCATATGAAGTGTTAGCATTAACTTTGCGTCTTTTCACAATGAATATTTCCGACATTTGTAATATAGTGCAGATCTAAATATGTTTGTAAATAAATAATTTAATATATAAATTATAGCTCAATGAAACGTTATATTTAACAATGACTGAATCTAACTTTGACCCAAGTAATTTAGTAGAAGATTAAGTATTTAACTTTTATGACTTATAAGTTCATCTACTTATTCCAAGAAGCTTCTCTCTTAAACCAGACGCTGAAGAAAGCCAAAGTATACGACAAGCGTCGTGTGATTGGCGTGAACTCGATCAACGCCATGCGTGCCAACCAGTTGTTTTGTTCCATAACTGGCTCCGACCCAGCCAGTACCAACACGCCTGTAGTGGGCGGCACTGGGCGGTGCACTCGCGTACCAGTCTTTTCCGCAGCGAAGGCCGGGAACTTTCCTAAGGTTAGCAATGAAGTTTCATTTAAAGACTTCCTCAACCAGTTGTTCTGCATCATGACTGGCTCCGACCCAGACAGTACCAGCACGCCTGTAGTGAACGACGCTGGGTGGTGCACCCGCGTACTAGTCTTTTCCGCCAGGCCGGGAACTATTCCCAAATTTTGCAATGAAGCTTGATTTAAAGGCGGATGCGTAAACACCTAAAACCACATTCCGACGCATTCAGTGTAGGTAGTTGGCGAAAAGATTATCTCTAACTGCAAATGCTGTTTGCACTTTTCACAGGCTTGGTAATTTATAATGGTCAATGATAAATAACAATAGAACGTCATCCAATCAGGGTGCCGATTCGGCTAAACTAACGTAAAAATCTTGTCTCAGTAACGGTAAAATAAAACACAAGAATGGTGAAATAAAAGGAAAATCCTCTTACACAGATAAAAAGGTTGAAGGCTTGGTGTTAAATTAAACATCAATTATATTAATTACAGACTTTACGACCTTAAGACCTCATGCCCCCCGTATTAGACATGGTCGACATCTCTCAGGTCAGTGCCCTTGTTTATCAAAACTTACAATACTTGTAGATATAGCAAGCAATAATCCTTTAAAAACATGTGCTTATCGAAACTTTACATCTAAATTGCAAGTGGCATTATTTATATCGCAAATGTATTTTTACGATAGTATTCGTGGTTTTGTTCACCAAAAAAATCTTTTTAAGCAACAACTTTAAAAAAATCCTTATTGTAGACGTCTCTCTTGTCCATCTTACAAGATTACAAGTGCCGCACTAAATTTTTTAAAAATTGATTTTCTTTATGCAAATGGTAGTGGAGCGCCTAGGGCTTTATATTATTTGACTGCGATGTTGCTAGTTTGGGAATGTAAATTAAACGGCCTTGGTTGACTTTATTGTAGGATATTTCGTAATTTATTTACAGCTTTAAATAAACAGCCTGGTGACAGACAGACAGACGGACATTAGTGAAGTCTTCTTCTTCGGAACCCTAAAAAGAAGAGGAGTTTCATATATTAAAAGCTGAAATTAAAATAACGAAAATTATACACCAAATAGGTACAAAACACATGACACTACCGCAATAGGTAAACTTTTTATATGTGTATTAGCTGAACATTCCATTTGGATTTTTTTAAATTTTATTCACTGTATTTGTTCCTTAGGTTTTCACGCACATCACTCATTAAATAAAACTAGTTTTTACGGGTTAATGCACGAAACTTTATTTATTTATTGACGTTTCGCAGCCTTTTCAGGTCTGCATCGTCAGAATATTCTGACGAATATAGATAAATAAATAAAGTTTCGTGCATTAACCCGTAAAAACTAGTTTTATTTATTCACTGTAACTAAAATCCGAGGTTTTCATGTATTTAACGCCCCGGGCGCTGCACTATGGATACTATTAAAATACCGTCAACATAATATAGAAATAAGAACTAACTGACTACTCTTTTCGTTGTATGGAGACGGAGTAACTATTATGTAATATGTGGTATGGAGTTCTATCCATAGAGGTATAAGAATAGAGAAGGGGAGATATCGACTCTACTACAAGTGGAAGTGTCCCTCTAATAGAAAGAGAAAGAAGATGAGAGACCGTTAGCTTTTCTCTCTAATCGTGCATGCGCATTGGCAACCGTAAGCATCTTACTATTTCGATGTGGTGCCATTAGATGCCATGCGTCACAAGAGCGAGAGATAGCTAGCGGTCTCTCATCTTCTTTCTCTTTCTACTAGACGGACACTTATATAGCCGCCTCCCCCACTCTATTCTTATACCTCTATGGTTCTATCACTTTGACAACAGATTTGAACTTCATGCTAAAAAAACGGCACATTGATTTAACATTTTCAAAGTCTTTGGTTCCGACCTGCTCCGTTGTGGGGGCTCCTGAGCCACAGTCCTGCCTACCCTGCTTTAAATCCGGTCCTGGTTTCATAGAATTCTTTTTCATTCTTGCTGAATGACGAGTTAATACGGCGATTTCTTATGTGTGTTGTCTAAAAAGAATATGGTTTAATTTTTGGATTTTGGAACATACAGGTAGCAGCTTCAACCGTTAAATTTAACTTTTTTTTTTATTAACATACATGAAATCTTAAAACATCCTTGTAGAATGTAACTTGTGAAGTGTAGACTTGTAAGTTTTGATAAACAGTGCATGGGCAGGGGCATAAGTAAATATAAGAGAACAAATAAATTGGATTACATGTGATCATGAAGGGCGCGATATGGTGTAGTAGTATAGTATTTTAATGTCTAGAACCGGTTTCATTCTACAGTCTTTAACACCCACTAATCCGCAACGCACATGCCCGCGAGGTTGGTCATGGCCATGACATTCCCCATTATTGCATTCATAGTAAGGGTCTGTGCTCCATCATTAGGGCCATTAATAGCCTGATGATGACGATCATGTCTTTCTACGGGCTCGCGCGGTGAGTTACGAGTGCTATGATACGACCTGTAAGCCTATTCGCTAACGGTTTTTGACAATGGAAATGATAGCCACCGAGCTATTTACTGATCCACTTCTGCTTTATTTCGACGCCACTTAGATACTTGTGCCGAAAAACATCGATGGATATGCAATTTCCACTCAAATCAATGTCAAATTTTGTATGGAAACTTGAACAGCAGCGACACAAAGTACGTAATGGAAACTAAAAATCAGTACACATTTGACAATGACATTTCGGACTCGCAAACGATACGAATTCGATATTGGTTCGTGCTAGGGGTACAGTAAGGCCAACTGTACCAGGGGCGGATCCAGCTTTAGCGCCAGGGGGGGGCCATATAGTCGTGGTATATTAAATATTGAAAGTACTTAAATAAAATCCCCCTGGGTTTGGTCCATCTGTACCCAGCCCAGGGGGGGTCATGACCTCCATGACCCCCCCCCCCCGGATCCGCCCTTGAACTGTACCCCTAGCAAGCTATTCGAATTCGATAATGGTTCATGCTAGAGGTACTGATCTCCTTATGTGATTCGATAATAGTGCTCCTCTAGGAGTGGCGACATTAATAAGCTGATTCGCAGCATTAGTAATGTGGTATGGTATCTTTCAGACGCAAGTAGAATGTTTGACCCGGCTCGTCCGAGAAGCCGACGACATAATATGCAAGGTAAAGAGCAACAACGAACAGGGTCACCTCTCCGTCGGATTCGCCACGGCCAGATGCGTGGTCAATATTATGAAAGGTCTGATCCATTTAGTATTAAAGAGTATGATTTCCTAATAATAAAGAGAAATTAAAATAATAAAGAGAGGTAGGGCACAGCGGATTATCCGCTCCAGTTAAAGCGCAGTTTAAGCGCCCGTCTGGGCAATTAACCTCCACCTTACAGAAAACCACAGTAAAATAACAGTTCCTTATTGTAGTGTTGTGTTTCTGCTGGTGAATCGGGTTCCAAAGATCCGCGGGGTAGGAATTTAGGTTCAGGCCGGCAAGGTGAGAATGGCTAGAGTGGCACACTTGCCGCAGCATATATCTTAGCAACTGGACTTTATTTACACTTCACATACGGTGGGGTGGGGTACTTTATAGTGCAATTCGACTAAGAATAGGACCGACTGGTTGGCATATTGTGACGTCATAGCTGTCAATTCGAACCAAATAAGTTAGAGTGAGCAAAAAAAAGTTTTTAATTACTAAAACTTCTTCACTAAGACTAAGTAAGAAATGGCATCATTGTTTTTATTAAAATTTATTTACACCACCAGATTTTTAGTGATATTTATTTATTAGGCCGAAAAAACAACCGATTTTTAGTAATATTTATTTATGATTTTATTTATTTTTTAAGCACTTAACTGCTAGATGTTTAAATCTAAAGAAAAGTTTACTAGAAAAAAATTCACGCGGACCAGGCAGCAGGCTTTATTTATTAAGACTGTAAGTAAAAACATTAATCAGAATCTAGCTCATCAATTCCGCTCATCTCTGCATTACCGCCGGAGTAATTATGAATAATCATGCACTATTACTAGGTCACATACGAACATGCATCCTTTATATTTTTATTTATATCCTCGATATAAAACTTTCGTTTTAAAGAGTAAAAATTCGAGTTTATAAATGCAACTTAAAGTGACATTTGGTTGCTAATTTAGGTTATCAACCAATCATAGCCAAAGCTCAATAAATGAAAATCAAAATATCAACCAATATTAATTATCAATATTTGTTATTGTTTGTTTACAAATGTTTGGTTTTTATTATAGAATTAGCCGAGTGCTAAAAAAGGGTTCCAAGATTTTTTTACAAACCGTACTTTTCAAGCGACATTCGACAGATGGCGGTCATTAGCTTTTCTATTCTTATTTCAATCGCACTATTTTTACAAGTTTAAACAAACCCTTCAAATTAGATATTAATGATGTTTCATGAAATCGCAATCAACGCACAGCCCAAACCGCTGGGTCTAGAGTCTCCAAATTTCGTATTCCTTGAGTTAATAGACTTGAAACTTTGCACGAATACTTATCTAAATAAATTATAAAGTTGTCATTTTTGGTTGGCTTAACTACCCCTAAAGGGGGATTGGAGGCTTGGAGGGTCCGAAGTTTTCATATGAATGAATTTTAACGCGCATTCGATTAACTCGGAACTGAGTATTTTGACTTGAGACCAAAAATAAAGAATAACCATGTATCAGGGTTCTTTGAAACACTACGCCTAACAGGGTGAAAAGGAATAGTAAATTTTACTGGGGAGTTTTTTACTGCAGGGCTTGATTACATCGGGAAAGGGCTGAACGAATTCAGATAAATTTTGTTACAAATATAGTTTCTATCTGGATTAAGGCAAAGGATAATTTTTACCTTAGACAATATTAGGTTACTGAGGGATTCTCAAAAAACTAAAGCCGCCGCTAGTATCATTATAAGATCTAAGATTAAACAAAAAGGGAATACGGTACGCTCATACCAGCATAAAATAAAATATGATCCGACTCAACTATATGTAGTTGAGTCGGATCATATTTAGCATCTTTCACGCACGCACACGCCTGTACATAAACATTCAATCGAGCGAGCGAGACAGAACTGTACGTTCAACGCAGCGTATTGCTGTCCTTTCCTTGATGTCAAAATGGCGATTACGTAATACGACAAACCGTGATTTTTGAGAAAAAATGTTTTTACAGTTTTACGAATGAACAGTATTGCCGAGGCATTTATTATTTGTTTGAACTATTTGTGTTCTTATAAAAGCATCGAAAGCATTGTTTTATCTTCATAACACAGAACATACACAATATTGTTATATTGAGAGCACATGCAGCGTGTTTGAGTGTCCAATTGTGACTAAAGCAAATTGTGGTCATGCACCACAATTTAAGCTCTCTAATATTACTTTAGGAACTTAACTAGTGCCTACTACATAATAAGTTACCAATACCTTTCGGTAAAACCCATAGATTCTTTTCTGTGCTTCTGCAAAAAACTACCCTCCTATTTGTGAATTCCTAACTAACCGAACCTATTTATATAAAGGTGTGCAAGTCTTATTTTAATTATCTTCTCAAAACGAACATTGCGCTATTTCAATATAAGCATTTAGACTTGAATTTCTCTAGAAGCTCGATGGCGCATCTGGTCATTACGTTCGGTCCGCGATCTTGGAAGATGAGCAACTTATGCAATGTCCGGCCATCGGGTGACTAAAAATGTTCTATATGGAGCTGCTCCGTGTTTAAAAATGCACATTAAGCCGTCGGTCCTGCTTGCATCTGCAGTAGTTAATAGCGGACGCGTACTGAGAGACATTTGAGAAATAGGTATTTTAAAAAACTGTTACTATCACGCATGTGGCTCTCGACAATTTCCTTCTGGAAAATATGATATTGTAAAAGAATATTTACCCATAGAATAATGAGTAGTAATTCTATGCCTCCATCTTTTGCTTTTTTCGTATATGCTTATGAAATCTCCACACTAATCGTCTTTAGTGGCGGGCAATGTTTTTTTCATACAAACGTTCTCGGCTGATTCCTTCTTGATTTTTATCACTAAAGAATTGATTTTCATACATAAAAGATAATTTTTATACTCATTCTATGCTCTTATGTCTCCCTTTTTGCGATAACTTGTGTTTCAAAGAAACTAGAAACCATCAAAAATGCCAATATTAAAAAAAAACTGTCACCACAAAAGACGTATAGTGTGGAGATTCAATAAGCATTTAAAAAAAAGCAAAACAAAAAAAATAGAGTCATAGTATAACTACTTATTAACATATGGGAAAAAAACTTATAAATGTTTAATTTTCGGGGAGGAAAGCGTGGAGTGCCAAACTTCGAATTTTGCAATACCTACTTATTCGCAATTTTCAGCGTTACCTACTATTGTCCCTATCGCCCGGTATTTGCTAATGTGTGACAGTAATAGTTTTTTCAAATACCTATTTTTCAAATGTCTCTTAGCTCGCGTATGCTCTTAATACCAACCAATCCGCACTGTGCCCGCGTGGTGTGCCACGGCCATCCAATCTCCCTTTTCCATCCTTAGAGAAGACCTGTGCGCCAGCAGTGGGGAAATTAATAGGCTGATGATGAGACGAGAATTCGTAGTAGCAATTTCTTAACTTAGGGTTGTTCGAGAAGCCGATGTTTTTGGACAGCGCCCTGGTGCATCAAGCAGACCCCGAGAAGTGCTACGGCCTAAAGATGTGCGCCACCCCACTGACTATGGGCAAAGGGGGCATAGTGGAGTACGCCGTACCCACGCTCAATGAGTTCGAGACTAAAACCTTGGAGGACAGCAAGTTAGTCGGCTTTTTGTTCAACATATGTATGTTTAACGTGGGTGAAGGGCTTTTTTTAACGAGGTAAAATATAGCCTTTATTATTATTATTACTCAGGGATAATATAGCATTCTAATATGGTGTTACTCTGGCCGTTGTCAGATCTTAAATGTTTTTACGCAATATTTGATAAAACATAGACGTACAGATATAATTCCTTTTTTGAAATTTTGTCAAGTATTATCTATAATTTATTTAAACTTTATTGCCACAGTTACAAAATGCCAGTCAACTTTCAGGAATTCAGAAAGACACGAATACGGCTTTATTAATTAATTAATATAAACATACCCATAATATCTTTATATATATAATTCTTCTGTGAGTGTGTATGTCACTGAACTGCTCTTAAACGACTTGACCGATTTTGATGAAATTTTTTGTGTGTGTTCAAGGGGATCTGAGAATGGTTTAGATTCACAATTTTGTCCGCTGGACAAACCCTATTTTTTTAGGGCGGTACTAAGTTCGCTGGGTCAGCTAGTAATATATATATAAACATATACAATACACAAATACATACATATAAAATATATATTTTAAAAATATAACAATGATGAGACTGAAAGGGACTTATGAAATAAGTTTAACGTTAGTGTGCAAGGCAGAAGAAGTGCATGAATTTCTTTTTAAAAATATACCTATTAGGTGACGTTCTAATGGAGTCAGGGATGCAGTTCCAGAATCGTGAAGAAGGCAAAGGAATCAGACATAGCCAGAGTGAAAGAGACGTTAGGATAAAGCAAGAGTAGAACAAAGTTGAAGGTCATGCGTATCACAAAGATACTGAAATTAAGATCTTAAATATTCTGGAGAGTGTGGGTTTAAGAGAATTGAATACAGAGTACATAACATTCCCTGCTGCCTTCTTTGACGTATAATGAGCCATTTAAGTTGAGACCTGTAAGCAGATATATGGTCAAATTTACGAAGACAGAATATGAAGCGGATGGCATTGTTGATAAGACATCTATCTAAGACACGTATTTTTTCTTATTCAGGTGTGACCTCCAGGATATGCTTAACCTCGGCCGCTCATATGCCCTGGGCGACGATTATACTTTGCATAAGTGTAAGTACTGCCCACCGGAATACTACGCGCCCTGCAAGAGCTGCAGACCAGTCTTAAAAGAAAATGCCAACAGATAGACGGAACTGTGAATGGAAGACTGCCTTCAGATCGACACATTTTTTGCCTATAATTGGTGCACTGAAAAGAATCTGCAAATTCATTCCTTTTTCCCGATTGAATGCAAACTACATCTTCTTATATATGAAATTCTTGTGTCACGGTGTTTGTGGTTAAACTCCTCCGAAACGACTCAACCGATTTTCGTGAAATTTTATATGCATATTCATCCCCCTAAATGTTAATGGTAATCCACCCCTAATTTTTTTTTTCAATTTTAGATATATTTTTTTAATTTTTTTATGATACATAATAAATATAACCCAAAATTTTCGCCCTTCTACCACCAACCCCTATTTTTTTATGGCAGTACGAAGTTCGCTGGGACAGCTAGTACTATATAATAAATGTAACCTTAGAAGTGGAAATTATATTTATATAAATGAATTAACATTCTAGTTGCTTATTGCATACTTACCTTTCTAAATTTAATGGATGGCACATGTCCATACTAATATTATAAATAAGAATGTGTGTCTGTGTGGCTGTCTGTTCGTTAAATCTTCACGTTTAAGCCGCTGAACCGATTTGAATGTTTGGTACAGAAATCCTAGAAATCACACTTTAAGGGGGATGAAAAAGGAATGAATCATAGAAAACCAATATTTCTATGCACCCACTACTATAATAATATGGCTGTATATTCCCCTGTTCCATATATCCCTACTGACATAATATCTCCACTAGTTAGGGATACTTGGATTTTTGTCCAATTATCGCTACCGGTTGGGATAAATGGAAATTCCAAGAATCCCTACTAGTGGAAATATATCAGGGAGTATATTTAGGTGCATGCCTTATTAAATAGATTTGGTTTGTATTGAATACTATTTTATATCTATTAAATGATGTCCAATTAAATGCTCGTTTTATAGATCTTAAGAAACAGGAGGATTCCAGTGCAGTCGTTGATGTGAAAAAAAAATAGACAGACACATTTTCGCATTTGGTTAACGACGAAAGAGTTTCTAATATGATTTGTGGTGTTATTTTTCTGTGTCATATGTCATTGTATCTTATCAGTGTTATTAAGTCAATATACTAAAATATTTTCGTAGTAAAGTTCTATTTTTTCCTCGCACGACAAAAACCAGCGCTCCAACGCTAATAGCATTTATAATATCGGTATGGATTAGTTAAGTTTTAAATCTAAAGAAAACTTTACTAGAAAAAAATCCACGCGGACCAGGCAGCGGACGGGACTCGAACCCGCATCCTTCGCTATCCGGGCAAATGCACTGACCATTATGCTACCACGGCCCTATTAGCCGCGTCGATATTTATCTTTAATCTAGTAAACTTTTCTTTAGATTTAAAACTCTAGCAGTTAAATGTTTAAAAAATAAATAAAATCATTAGTTAAGTTTTTTATGATTTGTGCGGGTAGTAGTAGTAGTTGAATACTAGTTTTTGCACAAATCAATGTCGCTTATTTTTCGATAAACTCCGTGGGATTTATATATTATACTAGCTGTGCCCCGTGGTGTTACCCGCAGCTTATTAGGGAAAATAAATTGTGTATTAACATTAAAAACAAAAACTATCCACATTTTTAGAAGCTGCTGTCTTGCAATTAACATGGATGGAGCTCTTTGTGACCTCTGAAAGATTTGGTTTACGTTTGCGAGTCATAATTAGATACATAAAAAAATTACAACAATATCCTTGTCCTAGAAATATGTATGAAATTTTAATCTATCAGAATAGCTTTGACATTAATGTCAAAAAATATGTACCTACTTAAACAAAATTCATTTTCATCGATTTTCCCATGGGAATAAGATATTTTCCCGCAGTAAAACGTAGCTTATGTGTTAATCCAGGGTATCAGCTAACTCCACACCAAATTTTATTAAAATCGCTCCAACCGTTTAGGCGTGAAGAAGTAACAAACATACACACTCACATACTCACACACTCACAAACTTTCGCCTTTATAATATTAGTGTGATTAGCTGTACCCGCGACTTTGTACGCGTTGATATCGGAAAATAACATATCCTACATAGGTTCCTTGATTTTTCTGTTTTAGTGAAGTGCTTTATTTGGCATTTGCTTAGGCAAGCTATTTTTAAACATTAAGTTGCGAAATGGTGGTACAAGACATTTCGCACTCGCAAACTAATCGAATTCGTATTGGTTCGTGCTAAGGGTATAGGGACGTACGTCCAATGTTTGCCAGGTTGTTGTTTTTACTATGTTCCTCGCAGTTTTTCCATTTTTTCTCACCGTATAAACCTTCCCTGAGCTACGACAAACAAAAGCAGCCCAGCCGTTCGCGAGCTTTTTAAGATAAAAAAAAACATGCATTATGGCAAACTATATCATATTTGTATGTTTCTTTTATCTTAAAAAGTCATCATCAGCCTATTAATGTCCCCATTGCTGGGGCACAGGCCTTTCCTATGGATGGAATAGGGAGATTGGGCCATGACCCACCAAGCAAGCCCAGTGCGGATTGGTAGGTGCTAACGACTGCAGATGCAGCCGGGACCAACGGCTTAACGTGCCTTCCGAAGCACGGAGGAACTCAAGATAGTAAATTTTTGGTCACCCATCTAATAACCGACCACTGCGAAAGTTGCTTAACTTCAACGATCGCAGCCGAATGCGCTAAGCACTTGCGCCATCGAGCTCCTCATCTTAAAAAGTAATGACAATTAATCAATGCCAAGTTGTTTTAAATATCTTGGCATGAATATAGCTTCCAATTAAAAAAAAAATCTTCAAAAAGTTTATTTGTTGATGCAATTTATTATCATTCCTGATCAAAAGATGCTGTTTTCCGAATATCCGACCAAAAAGTCCTATTTCCATTTTTTATTACTTAATTTTGTGCTTTTTAATATTAACAATAATAAATAAATTTATCCTAAAAATAAGTGGCCTTCATATGAATTACCTGAATAAAAAAAATACACTTCACATACATCGTCAAATCAGCATACGTTTTTTTAATTTTATCAACATTTACTTAGCATGTAAATAGACCCTTTCGAACAAATGCTCCTCTCACATAATATATTAGAAGATAGCTACTCATGTTATTATCATTGATGTGTGATGACAAGTCTAGACAACCGAATTCCCAAACCTTAAACTGTACATAACATTGTGTAGATACATTTCGTGTGATCGATCTGAGGAGAGCCTTATACCTCAAGCGATCTTAATCAAAAAAATATTTATGTGTAAGTTACAAAAATAACTGCATAATTAACGAGTACCTTTAAGATGCATAATATAATTTTATAATGCGCCTATCTAGGTATTTATAGCTTGCAATCTAATCATTAATTAGTTTGGTTATCTAAATTAATTCTAAGAGATTCAATTTATAAATTCGACCACTGTATAAAAATTATTTCATTGTTTGTTTAATAATTTTCTAGCGAGTTTAGTTGACGAGTGGTAAAACAATGTTTATAAAGTGAGTGAAATCTACTTGGGAGTACAGGTAAAGTATTTGAAAATTTTACATATTTTAAAACGTTAAAATTCATATGTGCGTCTGTAAAACGAAATCAATTGAACCTACATGCCTCATGAACATCATAAATCAGCCTTTTATGTAATGAAATGAGTAGAACCCACCCACAATGATCGGCCTTTGTGAATAAGTGGGTGCTAATAACTGATAACGAACGCGGATGCAGCTGGGACTAACGATTGATTTAATATAAGGGCTTCAGAAGCAGGTAGGAGTTAATTTGTTTGAAAGGTTCAAATCAGGTCAAGACCGCATGATGAGATTCTCGGGAAACAGCAAACAACACGTTATCACTTAAAATAATTGTCCGTAAACCGACTTTACACACAACTAAATGTATTTTATTTATACACAAATTATATGTATACACAAATTTAAACACCGATTGCATAAAAATAAATAAAAACAATGCTTATTCGCTACTTATATATAAAGTACTACTGCATTTAAAGTCGTACTAACATTTGTTGTTGAGTTGGTGCCTTGCTCTTTCTCCCCCTTATTAATAAACAAGGAACAAGCTTAGACTAGTTGCGCAGTGTTTTCTTTATGTCACTGAAATGCCATTTTTCCAGAGAAAAACATGGAGGAAATTTTGTTTCTTAGGTTTTCACCGTGGTTTTCACGCACATCACTCAATAAACAAATCTAGCTTTTAGTTTTTATTGACGTTTCGAAGCCTTAAATAAAGTTTCGTGCATTAACCCGTTAAAACTAGTTTTATTTAAACATGGAGTAACTAATCCAAGCGCAATCTTCGTTTATTAATAAAGGGATAAGTGTTTAAGTCAGAGGAAAAAGAATTATCAGAAACTATAAATTTTATACGTAGATGGCATACTAAAGAGATAATTGACGACGCGTATCTGCAGCAAATAACTACATAGAGTACAAAAACATATATGAAGAACCAGATCAATTCTGAGGATATGTTAAGGATAAGAAAGAAGATAGGCGATATATTATACATTTCACTTGTCAGGGAGTTGAGGTGACGGGGCAGGCTGCTGCCGAGGCTTTTCCCGATACTACAGTACCCTTAGCATGAACCATTATCGAATTCGAATAGTTTGCGAGTCCGAAATGTCATTGTCAAATGTTGTATGGAAACTTGAACAGTAGCGCCACAAAGGACGTAAAGAGAACTAAAAATCTAGGTACACATTTGATAATGACATTTCGGACTCGAAAACGTTACGAATTCGATATTGGTTCGTGCTAAGGGTACTTTTTTCCAAAGTAGTTCGCGGCTCAATCCGATAAAAGCTGCGTGTGCTGCGCGTTCTCTGAAGTATATAAGAAGCATTGCTATCAAAGGTATATTTAAGACTAATATAAAGACAGCAATCAAGAAACTTAAGTCACAGTCAGCTGGTGGGACCGATGGCGTGCTTATGTTTTTGGTGTAGTACTGAGAATCAGTTCTCTACACTGCACTACAATAAAGTCATTTTTTTAGAAATCGGTTAAATTTTTGACTGTAGTTCGTAGGGTCAATTCTATTAGCAATGACCTAAATAATAATGGCCTTAAATATCAAGTTCAACTTTCCCTGTAACCTATACTACCTACCTCATCATCATCAGCATCATCAGCCTATTAATGTCCCCACTGCTGGGGTACAGGCCTTCTCTATGGATGGAATAGGGAGATTGGGCCAGCACACACCACGCGAGCCCAGTGCGGATTGGTAGGTGCTAACGACTGCAGATGCAGCCGGGACCAACGGTTTAACGTGCCTTCCGAAGCACGGAGGGGCTCGAGATAGTAAATTTTTGGTCACCCATCCAATGACCGACCACTGCGAAAGTTGCTTAACTTCAACGATCGCAGCCGAACGCGCTAACCACTTTCGCCATCGAGCTCCTCTACTACCTACCTACCTATCTATAAATACAATTTCAGGGAAAATGTGAAGTATACTCGTGTATTTGCGTAATTTTTCTCAAGAGTCGAAACTTTGTACCTATTGAAAGAGTAGAATTTTCCAAGAAGAGAACACTCTCAAAATAGTATTTGACATTTAAATTGCCTACTTTATACATTACAACAGATATTTCAGTAATATTGGACCCGGGTTGCACGTGTTCAGTAGTAAGGTATGTACGTATTATTTTGGTTCACCCGAGTTTAGTACCTAAATCACGTGAATTGAAACGCTACTCGAGTTGGGTCACTTCGCACGGGTTTCGTCATTTGTGGATTTGTGGGCACGTTACTGAAGTCACGTGTGACTAAACGGTTCGGTTACGCCCGCTTCGCACCTTCCGTCTGTATCCGAATCATTGTATTTTTAATTGTTCACTTTTTTGAGAAATTTCCATTGATGATGTATACAGACCTCTAGCACAAAACAGACAATACAGAAGGTTATTTACATACAAAGTGCGTTTGAGTAACGCACACATAGAAGCCGCTCACGACATCTTTTTTGGCAAAAATTGAGCAATAAAAAATGGCCGCTAGTTATAACAATATAATTGGAATGTTTTAGTTATTATTGTTAATTTCCATTATTCCTGTCTTGTTCTCAACAATAATAATCAAACAACTAGTTACGAGAGCCACTACCACGATATTTTTTTGTGCTTAAGTCAAAGATGCTAGCGCAACCGCGCAACCGCTGAGCGTAGGTATGAGAAGTGGAGTTCATACATGAGTTTGTCTTCTGTACTATTTATTTTGTAACTCTAGCATCAGTCACCACTCATCAAGTTACCAATTTTTAAAAACACTGTGAATCTTATATTTATCAATATAAATCTGGCAAGTCATTGGAAGTTTTTTTTCAATTCCGGGTTATTTGACCTGTAGATTTCTGTACTTGCAATTATACTTATTTCCGTTTATTTTATTATTTTTTCGTTGCCTCCCTGTCCTGTCCTTACTGTGATTTACTTTGTATTTATTGTGTTCTATCATTTATAATTTAGTTAAGTACGATGTCATATTAACTTTTTTTTATATATTTTTATGTTTCCTTTTCTCCAAACCGTAATTTTATTTGTGTATAATTTGTATTTGAATCAATGGCAGAAAAAATAATTTCATTCTTGTTAAATACGAAATTAATAAAAAATAAATATAATCGATTTAATTATGTGCATACCAAAATACAAACAGATTTAAATTATCTAAACCGGCGAATGTAAAAGCCTTGATTAAGGCCCACTTGCAGCAAATTAGCTAAATCTCAATTTAAGTTAGACTAGATTTAGTACTGTTATTTAGCAATATTATTATATTAGCTTACAATAATGTCCTTGAAGTTTTGTCCTTTTTCTAAAAATCTAGTATTTAGTTTTAGTTGAATCGAGACTACAACGCCCTCAGTGACATCAAATATATTGAATGCTTCAGTATGTTACTTCTTTTCTTGTCCTATTCTATTTTTACGCAATGAAAGTGAGAGCAACAACTTAATCAATCAATTTCATTGACTACAATGTTTCAACGTGTTATATGCACTGAATTTATTAATTTATTAACGTTTCGCATTCTTTACAGAAATGTGTCGTCAGAATAATAGCGACGATTCTGACGACGCATTCCTGTAAAGGACGCGAAACATCAATAAAAAAACGACGGGTTGCACTCCGGGAGTGCCGGCAGAAGTGAAAACTTGAATATTAACGTTGTGCATTTTTGATATTTCGGAATGGTTAGGGAATAATTTTGTACGAGTTTCTTTAATTATCAGTATAAAAGTACTATCATGTATGTGTTAGAACACAATATTTCTTTTTTGCGCTTTCGTACACAAACATGACAATTTATATTACATTTAAGCGCACCTAGCGACATCTATTGTAAAAAAAATGCATTTTCTTCGCAATAAAGCTGCCACGTGGACGTCCTAGATAAAGACTTATTATTATAATACGATAAAACAAAATATAACTATGTTACGTCCAATATATTGAAAGTCAACAACCTTTCCAATTTTATTGTGTGTCATGATGCGATCAGCCCACGTGTTTAATCTGATGCGAGTTTAACATTTTTTACCCATACAAAAAAAGTGTACAACGCCGCTGTTTTCACTTCAAAAAATAAATTCAGTGCATATAACCCGTTGAAACATTGTTTTATTTAATGAGCGATGTGCGTGAAAACCTAAGAAACAAATTTCATTGACGTCTCTGTATGGGGGCGTGAAGAATTTTTCTTGATCCGAACTTAGTTAGATCCCTTGAAGCTGTGAAAAAATTACACTTCTGAGTAAACGTAAAAAATGTGGGCGGTAATTTATGTTGCGTACGTACAAAGTACGGAACCCTCGGTAGGCGAATCCGACTAACACTTGTCCATTTTCTTCTATATTATGTTTCATTTTTGGCTTACCCCGCGGCACTCGAGCACAAAAACTTAACGTTCTACGTACGTTAAGTTTTTGTGCTCGAGTTATATTTCGCAAGTCCACTATTTATCAGAATGTCTGAAGGAGCTTTAACAAAAAAGACTGGGCAATAAATTATCGGATTGACCAATGGTTCATGATAATTGATGATACATAGTATCTACTACAAATATGTTGTTCGAATTTATTGCTTTCTTTTCTATACATTATAATATGCTTTACTGTGTGCGTCGTATATTTCTTCGTATAAAAACTTTTTTGTACCTACATACTTACTATTATATATTAATAAACATAAATAAACTGTTTTATAATAATTATATAAATAATTTATTTCCAGAGAATACAAGTCCGTATTAACATAGTAACAATGGTATTTAAATCTGAGTTAGAAAAATGAAAAAAAAAATCTAAATTTAAATTTAACTGTCATTCAAAATTTAATTAAATATGCAATACAAATTCAAATCAAATTCAATTATTATATAGGAATATATGTGATGAAAAAAGAAACAGATCACCGATTTGAGAAAGTACAATTATCAAATACGGAAAGACTTGTAACGTTAAGATTTTTGTTGACGATCTGTCCTCCGCAGTCGATTTG